ATATATATATATATATATATAAAGCATTTCATATGTACAGTGACTTGAATTCATGTCTTCTATTATAAACATGTTAAATTGGATACTTTTTTAAGTCAAAAATATCAAAAGTAAGTGAAACAATTGTCCTGATAACATAATCAAAAAAGCCTAACTAAAAGAATGAAAGTCCTGAAAATAAATAAGCAGTTTGTCATAATCTTTTATTATTATTTTCTAGAAACAGCAATATTTGTTATTTAATACCAAACTAATACTTAATTAAAAAATTACTATTTAACAAAGCATAAAAATTATAACTTAGAGATGACCCCTGCAGACCCTCATGAATGTCAATGTCAATCTATTTTATATTATTATTTCAGGTTATAAAATGTTATGTGGTACAACTTTCCAAAAACCTATGAATTAATAATTCATGTTATTTATTAAAAAAATATATGTATTATTTTCTTGAACATTTAATGACTTTAAAATATTTTAAAATACTTTATTTCCTTTTCTTAATGGTTACGTCTCATTAAATCAGGGTTATATATATATATATAAAAATGTTTCTTGGAAAAAAAAGAAAAAACTATGTGCATATACTGTATATATATATATATATATTTTTTTTTTGTCAAGAACTAAATGAAACTAAATGAAATGTTAAACTAAATGAAAATGGTGCCTTGGCAACTGCTGAGTATATATATATACTCAGCAGTTGCCAAGGCACCATTTTCATTTAGTTTAACGATCTACTAAAATAACTAAAACTAGAACTGAAATGCTGAAATAAAATTAATAAAATAATTGTTGAATGTGTTTAATCCTATTTTTTTCATCTTATTTGTTGGTGACCCAGCTTCAATAAGTGGAAGAGTTTGCAACAGTACAGGGAACTGATTCCTGTGAATGCTATTAAAAAGTCAGATTACTTTATGCACTGTCGTGCAGTGTCGGTGTTCCCCTCGTTTGTAGTAAAACACGTTTACATCACCTCTTGCATGCAATTAGTAGATTCTTATTTTTTCCTTTCCTTTCCAATGAGTCAGAAAGAATACATTCCTGTCACTTCACTCCAAGTCATAAAACAGGAATGTAACAAATGTTTTCTTTCCACCGGGCCACATCTCTGAAGTATCAGTCTTGCACATTTCCTTTTTTAACCGCTGTATCATTTGAAGTGGGCAGTGGCCCATGTTCCCCACGTGCATTTGTGCTCACTCGTGTTTCTCCTCGCGGCTCACTCCCCCAGATGTGCATTCCTGCGAGTCTCCCTAAATGTCAGCTCCATGAGCTCAATGTTCCTACTGTTACACAATCCTTTGATTTCATGATTTACTACACTCTAACTCTTCCTCTGGATAATTACAGGAGACTGTTTACTGGACACCCCTGAGACGATATTGGCTTTACCCACTGAGCTGCCAGGCATAACTTACAGCCTAGACCGCCAGTGCCAACAGATATTTGGAGAGGAGTTTTCACATTGTCCCAACACCTCAGCCAGCGAGGTGTGCAGACAGCTCTGGTGCCAGCAAGAGGGTCAGTCTGTGTGCACAACCAGGAACGGGAGTCTTCCCTGGGCAGACGGCACAAGCTGTGGCCCCAATATGACCTGCCTGAACAGCGTATGCATGTCCTCTGAGGAAGTCATGAGGCCTAAGGTATTTGAAGCTGGATTTTTAACTTATCTATCTATACCCTACTAATTGCTCCCTTTTGGTACTAAAATATACCTTTTAGGTACAAATATGCACCCTTTAGAGATAAAAAAGGTACAAATGTGTACCTTTTGAAAAGGTGCCACCCTAGTGACAACTTTTGTACCTTTTTGTCTGAGAGTGAATTTGGTTGGGTAATACTAGTGCCACTGAAATCACACACTTCAGGAGTATAGGACATTCAATTGGTTGTGTGGTTGTTCTGGTTTAGCCGGCTGTGGATGGAGGCTGGGGCGAGTGGGGAACATGGCAACCGTGTTCCAGATCATGTGGAGGTGGAGTGATGTTCTCCTACCGAGAGTGCAGCCATCCATCTCCTCAAAACAGCGGAAAATATTGTGTGGGCCAGAGAGTGAAGTATCAGTCCTGCAACAAACAGACCTGTGAGAATAACCAAGGTGGGTTGTTCTCTCCAGTCTCAGTAAATTTAGTTAGCTATCTGTCTTTTCATATTGTGTTATTATAAAAGGTAACAACAATTCTGTGTTATTGCAGGAAAAAGTTTCAGAGAGGAACAATGTGAGAAGTACAACAATCCAAATCACTTTGATGTTCATGGAAATGTGAAGCAGTGGATACCAAAATACGCTGGAGTGTCGTTACGGGATAGGTGTAAACTGTTTTGCAGAGCAAGAGGCAGCAGTGAATTCAGAGTGTTTGCAGCTAAAGTAAGTTACATTTTAAGATTTACAATTATATATTTGGCAGACGCTTTTATCCAAAGCGACTTACACTGCATTCAAGTTATACATTTTAGTGGTTCTTACTTTCCATGACCTTGGCATTGTTAGTGCCATGCTGTACTGTTTGTGCTACAGGAATAAAAGTTCACTTTGAAAAACCTTGTTGTAAGTATAACCATTGTTTCAATCTTAGGTAATTGATGGAACCCCATGTGGTCCAGATACCACATCATTTTGTGTGCAAGGCCAGTGTATCAAAGCCGGTTGTGACCTGGAGATCGATTCTAGTAAGAAGCTGGACAAATGCGGCATGTGTGGAGGGAATGGCCAGAGCTGCAGGATGATATCTGGCTCATTCAATAAAGTCGTGTAAGAATATCTCACTGCTATTTTTAATGTGCACTGTCTTATGAAAGTTGGTTTATTATGGCCACAGTAATAGAGTGCATATGGCTGACCACATTTTCAGATGTTTTAGTTCCAGAAGTATTTTCCATTCATTTTTCCAATTGGAATTTTGAAAATGTCTTTATTAAAACATAATAAGCCATTAACCAAGCCAATCAGCTAATGAATGACAAGTGAATCACAACTTTGATTTAAAGCAAAAAAGTATTTGAAAATCCGACAAAAAGACAAAGGTATAAGACTGACCGCAAATGGCATAATCAAATTAAAACGAAGCTAAAATAAAAAGTATTCATTTGAAGATGTTGATTATATCTGTAGAAGCAATATATGTTACATTTATTGCAAAATATTTATATATACACAAATATTTAAGTATTTTGAGACCTAGGGAGACCAACTTGATTACATCATTTGTAATGCTTGATGGGAGCATGATTTGCTTGCCACCCAGTCTCTGCTGAAATTTTCTGTACATAATCATGGGTATTGTAGTTTTTTGTTTGCAGTTAAACATGTTTATTTTACAAATAATTTGAAACAATGCAAACAGATGGCTTTAACAAAAGCATATACCATTGATTAACAAATTATTAAAAATCAATTTCCCTAAGGAGAAAATGAATGAATTTTTACTTCCGGAACTTGATTGTTGCTCTCTATCAAATTTTTTCCCATTTCTTTAGTCATGGATATAGAGACATTGTGACGATTCCAAGTGGAGCCACTAACATTAACATCAAACAGCAGAGCCATGGAAGTATACCACATGATGGACATTACCTGGCTGTACGAAGAGAAAATGGTGATTATATCTTGAATGGCAACTTCTCGGTGTCCACAGTGGAGCAGTATATTCCAGTGCTGGGGGCTGTGCTGAAATACAGTGGCTCGGCCACCACACTGGAGAGACTTCAGAGCTTCCGCCAGCTACAGGAACCAATCACAATACAGCTGCTCTCTACCGCTGGGGAATCCATCCCACCGAAGGTCAAATACACCTTCTACATCCCCAAAACCATGTCTTTTAGCAAACCCAAAGACAAAAAGATTGCTGGCAAACTTATTCATCCTTTTGGGGTGCCACAGTGGGTCTCGGGCGAGTGGTCTGAATGCTCCAAAACGTGTGGTTCAGGATGGACCAGGAGAAATGTGGAATGTCAAGACAATGCTGGCTTCTATTCAAATCACTGCAATACAGATCTCAGACCCTCTGATATCAGGCCCTGCGCAGACCTGCCATGTCCCATATGGCAAATAGGGCCTTGGTCTTCATGCTCACAATCTTGTGGCCATGGGGAACGCCAGCGTAGGATTCTCTGCATTGATTACGCTGGAAAGATTGTGGAAACGGAGAACTGTGATCCTGCCAAGATGCCTGAATCAGTATCTGAAAAGTGTTTCTACCAAGAGTGTTGAGGACATCCTGCAGGCTTTCAAATTATTCAGAGGTGATAAGACACTCCTGTGAAAGAATATTTGACCGTGCTTCAGGTTGGAGCAGGAAATATTCATGCTTTAGATGGAAAATTTGTTGAGCTTTCATGAATGTTGCACAGACTGATCACTTGGCCTTTGGTTTTCCAGATATATACATGTATATTTATAACCACTATTGAAGTTTGATCCAATAGATATCTACCTCAGCAAGCAATGCTTTATTGCAGTTTCCCTAACTTCTGTCTCCTAATTGCTTTCTTAGAGCATTACACATAAATTATTTTCAAGTATGTCATATTTAATGATTCTTAACAATACAAAAACACACCGATTGGCTAAGACTTAACATTCATCTCAGGCTGACATTATTTTAAATTAGTTCCAACTTTTTTGTTTTTGTACATTCAAATGTACTAAAAATTCAGTTTTTAAATAAATTTGGAATTACAAAATGGAATTATTTTAACTTGGAATGGGAAAATCTTACTAGGAACTGTCACTTGCTAAGCCGCTATAAAGGTGCTATCATTCTTTTTTATTGATTTACTTTGTGATTGGGTCAGTAATTTAGATCATTTTTATTTACAAACCTTGGCTTGCATTTATTAGTGGCTTATTTTCACTTTCAGAGTTAAAGAGTATCAAAAACACTTAATAGAGCATGATCATATAAATCTATTAGAGCTATTTTCATGTATATTTAAAACTGTATCAGAGGTAAACAGTGGTTGAGCCTAATTTATATTCTGAAACTTTAATAATTACAGGTAAGTGTTAGATCTAGCTTTTGAAAATTCCTCAACAAACATAATGTTTGTGTCCATTCAGAGGGTTGTATAACTTACTATTTACTATCGCTGTTCTTTGTATTAAACACTGTTTTATTTGTTAACTGCTATGTGAATGAAAACCTGGATGTTTGGAAACATCAGTCCTTCCAGGGTTTTCATACTCCATGAGTGGATATATCTGAAAGCTTGAAAGAACTGTGTAGATGTGAACGATATTAAGAAAAAAAAAACAGTACAGCATGAAACTAAACTGAGAAATAGTTAGTGCTCCATTAAAATGATTGTATATGAATGTTAATATGGTATTGACCATTCCAGGTGTATACATTAGTCATATTAGTCATATTAAAAATGCGACAACACATATTATCCCTTCAGTGAAGGATTGTACTTTGTTACTTCTTCATTGTAAAGCTATTTATTTTTGTACATTTTATATTGTGTAAAATGGATAGAAATTATGCAGAGTTTCCAGATGTTGCTTTCTTTTTGTTTTGTAACTTATCAATGACATGTCTGAAAATAAAAATGCCTAAACATTACAAAAACATATTTTTGGATGAATGTATTTAATTAAAGCTAAAGCAAAAATGTAAGTGCAAAACATAAACATATGAATAGCTACAAAAAGTGCCTGGACTAGGACCTGCACAGCATAATCAGACAGGAAGGCTCTGATTTTCCTGATATCACAGAGCATGAATCTGCATGCTAAGATGTGGTTTGTAAAGTTCAGCTGGATGTCAAATACGATAAGATTCTTGGCTGCCTGTAGTGTTGTTGACCTAAGTAAGTTTGAGCTAGAGGTGGCGTTCCTTCATCTATTCCAAAATGTCAGAAAGATTTCCTGAGATAGATGCTGAGATCTTGGGCTTGTTGAACAGGAATGACCCTCTATCATCTGCATAACAGGAATAGGAAAAGTCATGAGACTTTATGACAGGACTCAAAGATGTTACAGGTCGAGAAAAGGAGAGGGTTGAACACCGAACCCTGAGGTACACCAGTGGTTAACTGAAGCAATTTAGACACCTCTTCACTCCACAAAGCCTTGAAGGATAGGTATCACAGGAAGATCTTTAATACAACTGTTTGTTGTAACATGGACATGCAGCCCTCCAGCATTAAACAGGCTACTAGGTCTCAACTGTATTATTTTAAGGAAAATTTAAAATCATGACAGCTAAAAATGCCCCTGAAACCCATCACTGCCAAAGAAACCTCTAATGGTCTAGTAAAACTAACACTGTGGCCCTAATGTGCGGCTTGGAGTTGCAAGAAACTAATTTTGGCATGGCATTCAAATAGTAACAACAACTCCAAGCTTCGGCTCTCCCTTAATCAGAATGAATTTTATTGGGCCAACATAGCCTCAGAGTTTTTTCCCTAATTTCTTAGAGGTGCTCTTTCCTAAAAGAGGGCCCCGTTGTCCACATGTCTGAGAGGCAGCTGCTCTCTATCTCTTTGAAAGGGTTTTGCATGAGTTTGGCTCTGAAAGAGATGCATCTGCTACAATTGTTACATAACTTAGCACTATATGTTCTGTCTAGCTTTTCCTTCCCGCTGATAAAATGAACACAGCTGCACTAGCAGCTAGCCCTATGGCACACAGCTGCACGAAGCATGAGCTCTAATAGCTTCACGTATTTTTAACTAACCACATTTGAGGCCTCCGATTGTAATTATTCATAGAAGTATATACTTTGTTATGGGCTGGTGAACTAAACACATCTACCAACATAATAGTCTAAACAATTCAACAAAAAGTGTTTTGTGAGCTGTTTTTTGCTTACCTACTTCTCAAGACATCATGTTCTCATAAACTGCCACATAAGAACAGGCTGCACATTATTATGTTGTGCAAATCTACCTTAAGGATGTGGAACAGAACTTTCAACCACTACTCCACCCAAAAACACAAAGCAAAAATGTTTTTACTAGATTACAGCAACACACATGTTGTTCTAATATGTGCTTGTGGTTTACAGGTAACTATTTAGCCAGCACCTTTTATCCAAATTGAATTATATTGAACAGAGTACGTGCCTGACTTAGAATAGTTCGCATAGTTGAGAAAAATAACCAGTGGAAGTTTTCTGAAACCAGGCCAGGACAAATCTCTGCTTGTGTCTCTGCTGAGCCAGTGGAAATGACCATCAATAAAAGGAGTTTCTTTTATTTTCATCTGCTGTTATACAATCATCATTCATTCATGGTTATGCTAGGGGTGCACATCTTTATAAAATGTTTATTTTTAATTACAGCTGTCACAAGCTATTCTAACATGCTTATGTGATTACTGGGTACATCTTGTTTAGCAATTCTTATCAAAAATGAATTACAGTGCACTGATTATGTGTCTTGCCCAAGGGCTCAGTGGTGACAGATTTGTGTTGTGAACTCAGAAAAACTCCTATTCTCACTTCAACTCGCAAGCTAATTGCTATCTTCATGCAGACCCTTGAGCATAAAGACTACAAACACACCCTTATTTGTTTCTAAATGAGGCGACACAGTGAGCTAATGCAAAACACATGAAAAAATATATTAAAATGTGGCTATTTTTTCAAGTGCTCGGCAAACAGCATGAAATAAAATATTATGTGCTATCCAGACAAGTCTAAAAAGCAGTTTATGAAGCAGCTGGAATATACCTTATTTCATGGCGGCTCATGAGCGCTCAGTTCTGTTGCCAGGAGCCAATCACCTGAAACTAAATGCCATGTGACTAATGAGGTCTGCAGGTCTGCAGGAATGCTGATTGGCTGATGGCAGCAACTATCATACACTGTACTGTCAAAGGGAAAATATGTTGTGCTGTTTTTAAGAATCTATAATATAATGAAATATTTGTTTATATTTTTCAGAATCAGAATTAGCTTTATTCGCCAAGCGTGCTCAAACACACAAGTAATTTGTTACTTGTGTACAAATTACACAAATTGTGTATCGCTTACACTCAAAGCTAATTATTGTATTTTTTTATTAACTCTGAACCTGTATAAACCTTTGCAGATGTTGTGCTATTCTAAATCTTACAGAAGGTTTAGACTAGATTTATTTCCAAACATTTCAAGAATAAGACTTAGCTCAACAAAAATCCTATTAAATAATTCTTTTTGCCAGACTTCTGGAAAATCCTGATGATGATTTTGGCTTAACTCTGTCTTTTATGATTTCACAATAAAAATGGTTTATAAGCTTAGCTCTTGCCTGCGTTGAAAAAGTCATTAATTTTTAAAATCCCATTAATGAGAATTATTATTTTTAAAGCCCTATCTGAATTATACTCTTTCATACATAACGCCATGTGTTTTTAAGGCAATATTCAATATACTGTACTTGCATGTGACCATCATTCAAGTCAAGATGCTTTTAAACGTTATATTTTATGCTGAAATGTAGATTTATTGTATTTATAAAATGTATTTGGGCTTACATTATATACTGTAAACTAAAGTGATTAGCATGGTTATTTTCATTAGCTAGAACTGTGATTTTCTTTGCTGCCAGAATTTGACGAGGTAACCTGAGACAGGAGTGAAAGGTCAGGCTTCGATCAGGTTTTAATTCTTTGCTTTTGTCTTGGCATTTATTTTCCCTTGAGTAGTTACAGATTTGGTGTGTTTGTGTGCTGATGCACACAGTTTTTTCTTTTTACCCCATTACATTTTGACAACTGTGTCCTATTTGAACAATTAATACCACAAAGTAACCTCAGGCTTAGTTCCACTCTTTGGCTGTGCACAAAACATTAAAATAACTTGGTCAGTGTTCATCATTATGCAACATGATAAGAGAATTATAACACAGACATTAAACTTGCATTTAATCAATTGTGACCTATTTAATGGTGGATTGCAAGAATATGTTTTATAAAGTTTTAAATAAGTATTTGCTTCACTTTGTCAAATAAAAGTTGCTTGGTGCCATATGAACAACACACTAATGAAACAAAGGCATAAAACAGCAGGACCCCTCTTATTTAGCAGTTTTATTGGAAAACACTGCATTTAATTTAACTTTTTTTATTTATTTAACTTTTATTGTTTTATTTTGAGAACAGGGACATGTTGTTGCACATTCATGTGTTAAGCAGTAAACGTTGTAGTGAAGGACTCTAAAATCTGTTTAAATGAAGTTCAAATATATTGGATATGGATATGATTTGATATGCTTATAATAAAAGTGCTGTTTTTATCAGCTGTTTGAACTCCTGATATGACGGCACCCATTCACAAATGACAGTCCTGTTACTTCTATTTCTGGTGCAAAACTCAAACTGTTTAAATGTTTAAAAAAAAATTTTCAAGCACAAGAATATTACACAACATACAATAGTTTCAATTATGCAAAGACTTTCTGGAAATTCATTTTCATCGTTCACATTTCAGACTGGGTTAACAGTTCATATATTTGATCATCTTTAATAAGCTCAGCCCTCATGATATATGCACACTGAATTCACAGAAACAGAAATACAATGATGAAATTAAACAATGGCACCAAATGTAGCACCAACATATTTTCCGCACTTTAAAGCAGATTTATTCCACTGCAGTGATGAGAAGCAATGGAAAACCCAACCTGACACAATACCAGTAAAAACCTCTGTGACACCTGTGACATTTTCCAGTAGCCATTATTTAATCCAACACGTGCGGTACATATGCAGCACATCATCTCCCGAAGACTGTGAACAATTGCATATAATTCACTGGAATAAAGAGCAAGGAACAGCATGCGCCTCACATCCATCATGTTTCAGATATAGCGTATGCCTTAAAAACAGACTTCTGTTGGTTCGATCAAAACAAAAAGAGAAGGAAAAAGTGAATAATAGATACATTTGATGGGTGATGGGTGATGGGTGATGGGTTTAGAACGAAGGAGAAATTAATATTATAGACAAGCCTGGCCAGATTATTGGACTAAGTCATACAGCTGACATTCATTTAAATGAACAGTTCACCCCAAAAATGAAAATTAGCTGGAAAATTATTCACCCTCAGGCCATCCAAAATCTAGATGAGTTTGTTTTTTCATCAGAACAGATTTGGAGAAATTTAGCATGACATCAGTATGACAGTCCAAACAGCTGATAAAATCACCACAATAATCCACAAGCAATCCATACGACTACATCAGTTAGTCGATTAATCGATTAATCGCATCCAAAATAAAACGGTTTATTTGCATAATATATCTGTGTGTACTGTGTATATTTATTATATATATATAAATACACACACATACAGTATATATTTTGAAAATATTTATATTTTTTTAATTTATATTATATTATATATAAATATATTTAATATATAAACGTAACATATTTTTCTTAAATACTGTATATACATGCATGGGTGTGTATTTATATATACATAATAAATGTACACAGTACACACACATATACTATGTAAACAAAAACTTTTATTTTGAATGCGATTAATCGCGATTAATCGT